ACCACTGTTACAGTGATCTTTAGTCCATGTGTGGAAGGCCTCTCTCTCTCCCCTGATTACGCTTTCCCTAGCTCTCCACCCTGCGTGGGAAGAGTCCAGATTCCTAGCAGTGACTCAACAGCTGCTTTAGGATCAGTGTCTTCCTCATCTCTCTTCCTCCGCTCCTAAAATCTTTGCCGTATCCCCTCCAAACCGCTTGCCCATAATAGTCCGGCTCTTGTTTGGTCTGCCTGTGGGGACACACTTGCGACTAATAGTTTCAGGTGAGAAACGAAACCAGACAGTGAATATGACAGCATGGTGAAAAAATCAGTGCCCCACAAATGTGAAATAATATCAGTATATCACCAGGTCTACTGTGTGCAGGTCAGTTGGGGGCAAGGCAGGCAGACCTCCTGCGAGGAGCCATCCCAATGCACTGAACAGCCACAGAGCAGGGACTGGCCATCACATGTCCACCAGCACTACCTGAGGTCACTTGAGAGCTCATTAGTGTCTGGATGGGACAAAAGTGAGCACTTGTGACCCCAAGAATCATTCCAAAGTCACAACCAATAGAAATACCCACACCCCATGGGGACCAATTCCCCCTTCCTGTCTGCAGCAGTTTGCTATGGCTGCTGTGACAAATTCCCCCATGAAGGGCAGCTTACCTAGCAAGATGCATCTTCACACAGACTGGGAAGCAGGACGTTGGCAGGGTTGTACTTCCTGAGGCTGCAAGGGCAACATCTATTCCACAGCCCCCTCCTCACCGTGTAGATGGTTGTCTTCATGTTTGTGTGCCATTCTCGCTGTCACACACTTCTGTCTCCAACGTCTCATTCTTTGTAAGGACACCAGTCATACTGTACCGTAACTTCGTCTTAACTTGATCACCTCTGCAGAGTCCCTGCCTCCAAATAACAAGTCATGTTGGGCTCGGGGATTAAACAGCATATGAATGGGGGGGTGATACAATTCAATGCATAACACTGCGCTAGCCCAGGTCGCAGGTGTCTGCTGTTTGTACTCTAGTCTGACTTAAATTGTGCTATCTTCAGCCCTGCAATCCCAGATCTCATCCTGAGAGCAAAGGCAGAATCAGGTTTGGATCCTAAGCCCAGCGCCATTCGCGGCTAAAGCTTTGGCCTTGAATTGCCATTTTATCATTTTTACTTCTCCGAGCCTTGGTTCTTGAAACTGAAATGAAGGAAATAATTTCCGTCGTGCCTTCTTCACAAAGCCACCGTGAGCGTCTAACGAGACTGTGAATGTGACAGTGTCGTGAAAAAATAAGTGTCCCACAAACGTGAAGTAGCGTCACTGTATCATTATTATCACTCGTAAGAATACAGGAATTCTAAAGCTAGAAGAGGGCCCTTCTCTACCCTCTGGAGCTGAAGAAATCTATTCCATTTATAAAGCCATCTCTTTTTATTCCTCCCGGGAGGAAAGCCCACAATGTGCCCTAGTTGTAGAACAGTTTCCTCTCCTGATGAATCACAGGCTCCACTCACTCCGCAGCCATCCTCACCTAACCTAAATGCACTGTGCTGCATTCAAGCCCCTCTGTTTCCTTCTGCTCTGGCTTGGGGAGAGCCCACCATTCCCCCGTGTTTTTAATTGGTCCTTTCTGTATGTCAGCAGAGGTTTCCTGAGCACTTGGGATGCACCAGGCACCGAGCTTTGTGCTGGGGCTCAGAGCTGTGGGCCTTTGGTTGTTCACAGTCCCCAGGTGCAGACAGAGTTCCTGGGGTGCTGTCTCCCCTCACCCAGAGAAACAGCCCCTCCCAACATCCATCGCCTTGCATAGGTAGGTAATATCGCCTAAGGTTCGGTGTCCTTCACTCAGTGCCCCACCTGCAGGTGACCTTGAACTTGCTTTTAAGCCAGGACTCCATTCATGTCAATCATTTTCCATCAGTGCTGTCTGGGCACTTGAGTGGTTTTGCTACTCATGAAGCCAAAGATGGCAGCCCCGAAGCCTTCTCCCCAGTGAAAGCCCTTATCATCTTGTTCTTCCTAAGAGGCATCTGTAATTCGAGTCCACCATCCATCAAAGAGCCATGCAGCAAGGAAGGTGACTCTGCAGGTTGTTCTTCCTCACTAAGTGATAGGTTCCTGCTCTTTCTGTCACCGTATGTCCTCTCTCTCCTACTGGCCCAGTTAGACTGGGCGGGGTTCCCAGGTCAAAGTGGCTACTTCCTGCCTCCCCCTTCTTCTCCCTATGCTCTTTGACAAAACCCCACCTTCCAGCTGTGTTTCCAGATTTCCTTCAGGTCCCCTACTTCTGTCCTCAAGGCATGCTTCCACATGTGGACTCAATGACCTCTGATCTAGCAAATCTCCCCAAAGAGCACCCCAAATTTTTGTAAATGCAAAATGAGCCAATTCTCACTTCTGTTATCCTCCAACCTGCTCCTCCTTGCAGAGATCCCCATGGCCTCTCTGCGGAGACTCAGTCCAAGAGCCCTCTCACTTAATAAATTTCTGCAGTGTGCTTATTAGCGCCTTGTAATGTAGCCGCCTAAATAATTAAGACTAACCCACACGTGTCAAATTAAATGAGCCAAATACATTGAGAAATTACCTCGTCCTCAATTTCTTTTATTAATCAGGTTTTTTTAAAGCTTCTTTTCCTGCTCATTTACAACAATCAAACATAGTCAAGGAGATTCTTGTTTAAAATAACTGTGCATATGTGGCTTCTCTCCTGGCAGTCACCCTGGGGGATACCCTAGTGTGTGACAGTTGAGTCACCAAGGATAACCAGTATTAGTTTCTCAGACTTTAAATAATGTTTCTGAGAATTGCCCACATCTCTATTTGCCAGAGAATTAAAGAGACTTCCCAGAACACCAACTAGAATGTTGTCGGTATCCACCTAACAACTTTTGCCCTCTTTCTGAGATTCTCCGCTGGACTCCCTCTTAGGGTCAGTTCAGGAATCCAGACTCTCTTTTAGCCCTTTCAGCCCCACATATATACTTTAACTGGGCATCAGAAGTTGATTCCAGTGTAACAAGAATCATCTCAGAAATGTGTCATTCTAGTGATACACAGTGATGGGCATTCTAGTGATGGACCTGCAATCCCAATGAGCCAGCTAACTCTGCTGGCATCTGCACCCCAAGGCCTCAGCACGGTCTCCAGCCAGAGGCTGTTGTTGATTGGAGCTCAGTGCCTCCTCCCAACCTGGGTTTCTGCTGGCCCCCTCCTGGCATGTTGCATTCCTGATCCTTGGAGGTGGTTGTTAGAAAGAATTCACAAATATCGTAAGTAAACATCAAAGGGGCTTTGATCCACATGGTCCTCGACAGAGCAGGAGCCTGTGAAGAAAGGGCCAAAGCCTCGGATGGGAGAACTTAACATTGTCAATTTGGGTGCCTGAGATGCGAGGCCGTTTGAAGTGGGGGCCGGTTGGCTGAGCCTTCAGATGAGTGAGCAAGAGTACAGGGAAAGGAAGAGGAGAGAACGCTGTGGAAATGGCACCCTCAGATCTGCCTCTCTGCGCTCCACAGATAGTCAACAAGCCCCCTAAAGAACCAGGAGATCAAAGCAGGCAACCTCCCTGGGCTGTGGCCTTCCGCTGCTGCCTGCCACACTTGGTTTTTCCTTGGGGCACGAGCCCCCAAGCTTGACTCCTCTGCCTCTTGTAGACCCTACACTCCCTTTTATCCTGCTACATTGGGAGGTTACAGCTGCTCAGCGGAAGGGGATGGAGAGGCAGGAGGAGGAAGGGACCCACTCTGTCTGTCCCTGACGGCAGAGTCACTGACGATGGCTAAGAGATGCATTGTGCCACACCTCTCACTGGGACTCTCCCTCTCTGAGAAACTGAGGGACCAAGCAACCAGAGCCCCAGGAATCCTAGCAAGGCCTAGGGGGGGTACCATCACATTCCAGTTTCGGAAATCAACTCTCTTGGCCATTCATTTGCCCAGTCTGTGGCAGTCCTCACGTTTATATGACTTCGAAGCAAAGTGGAGGGAAAATCATTTAGCATCGTTGAGCCTCAGTTTTCTGATCTGTGTCTTGTAACAACTGCCCTTCTGCCTACCCCAGAGTCAAAAGGGAAACGTATGAAAACACTTTAGACTCATAAAGTACTTAAGACAAATCGGGATTCGAGGGTAAGTACCAGAGAGAAACGGCTTCTCCTGGGGCAGGTAGACTCCAGTTCAAGCCTGCACATAGGAGGCACTGATCTACAAAATGCACAGGAAGAGAGGGAGGGAAAGAAGGCAAAGAGAGAGAAAGAGAGAGGGAAGGGGGAGGAGAAAGAGTCCCTCACATTTGCTCCCTGGAATTGTTTTGTTTGGTTTGCCCACCTGGGACAAAGTACCGTGGGCCCGTGTGTCTCTTAACTACCCCAACTCTGGGAGCTGAATCCATGCATATAAGTGGGGAACGATGGTGCTGATTGGTGCACTGATATAGGAATGTACAGGAGTTACCAGCCCCAGGACTGCATGCAAAAGGCAGAGAGAGCTCTGCTTAGACCTCAGCCCCTGTCTTTCCAGGCTCACTCCATCACTTCTTCCTCCTGGGTCACCTTCTATAATCATCGCACTGTGCCATCCTGAATGTCACTGTCTGGACTCTGTCTCTTTTCTAGCAGATCTGACCACAGACCCAAGGGGATCTGGAAATAGCTCTCAAGCCCAGGGTAGAAAGGGTAATGTTTACAAGCATGGGTTCTAGAGCCAGGCTGCATAGGTTCAAAGTCTCCACTCTACCATCTGCTAGCTCTTCAAGGCCACTTACTTTCCATGTTTGTACATGGAGTTGATCTAAAATGGGGCTGGTAATGGTACCTAGTTCACATGATGTTACGAGACTCTTGTAAGGATGACTGACAAAGTTATGCCTAGAACAGAGTGTTATATAAATATTAAATATACATGCTTATTATTAATTAAGCAGGTCCATTTCAGGAGCAGTAACCACAGCTTCCTGCGGAAGGGCTTCTAACACCTCAGCCACTGCCAACTCACCCACCTGTGCTTCTGTTTCAGAGCTGGGTCTTCAGAAGAGAGGATGCTGTCTGGTGCTGGGCTACACGGCCAAGGACAAGTTTCGGAGAATGAATGAAGGTCAGCGGGAGCCTCCCCACCATCTCACAGGTAATGTGGACAGGGGAAGTTATGTCCTGTGATTGTGGTACAGAGAAACCAGGAAAAAAGCTTGGGATATCTCAGAAAAGAGAGTGGACAGTTTAGCGCGATTTCTGCAAAGCTTTTTATACAATAACATCAGGAAATGTAGCTCATGTCTGAAACACAGGATGTGGATTCACAGTGTTCTTCTTATGCCATCTCCCCTCCTCCCTTTGCATTCCATATTTCTTTTCTTCTCTCTTCCCTGCCTTTGTTCCCCCACCAAGTTACCAAGCCCAATTAAATCTACTTCTGTTATCTTTCTGCTCCAAACTTCTCTATCCTTCTCATCTGTCATTCATATTTCTTGAATGCTTATTCAGATAAATAGCACCTTACAGAGCCCCTTGGAGAATACTACAGAATACAGTGTGTATCCCCAAAGATCTTACACTTGGAAATCTGTCCTCTTTCCCAGCTCCATTGGCCTAATGCTTACTCTTGTTCATGGACCGTTCTGGCTTCCTCTTGCATTGGGCGCCTCCTCTGGGGTTTGCCTGGTTCCTGAAAGGCTTGGGGATGGTACTGACACTGACGTTGAATTTGGGATGCTAGAGCATTGCTGTCACTGATGGGCCTGCTGCAATAAAGAACCAATCCTCTCCATCCCCAGCCATCTGTCTTTGTGCAGCTAATAACCCTCTTCATCAGATGCCACAGACTGTTTGTCAGGATTCAAAAGTAGATAAACAATGGCTGGGAATGTCATTTATTCATTAAAGTCAGACAAATGAAGCCGTGGCCTCCCACCAGCCACACTTGCCATGCACTGGGCCTCTTCGTCCCAAGGCTCAGAGCCCCTGTAGCCTCATTCCCATTGCAGGCAAGGAGGAGGCAGTTCACCTCTGTCATCTCTCCCCCCAGAGATAAACCCCAGCACAGTTCCAAGGAGTGCTTCCTGCACTCTGCAGCTGACTCTTCCCAGCCCATGGTCCGTGAAACCTACACCTGTGTGTGTACCGCAGACCTGAGCCCTTGACAGCTGTGGGCCTGTCACCCACACCCATCAGGTGACAGTCTTCAGAGCTAAGCCTGCACAGTTAAGCCCAGGAAGCAATCACCTCCCCCATTTGCTGCCTGTCTGCAAGAAGGCAACAGACTCCAGAAGCCACTTCTGATTTGTAGGATCCCCATGACGGAGCACAGCGGGATATGGGCTGCATGTCTTGTGTCCTGCCCATCAGTCTCTTTCATTGACTTTTTTTTTTTCCTTTCTTAGACACCCCCCCCCTCCCTTCCCAGCACCAACGCCTTGACAAGAGTGCTAGGCAGTAACTTCTAATTTGTGGACGCTGACAGCATGCCTCTGTCCATGGTGCTGAATAGACATGTTCTCTCGCTGGCAATGCTCGTTAGAGAAGCTGAGCTGAGATCCATAGGAATTGGAGGAGCCAAAAAGTCAGGAGTCAGATTGTTTCTGAAACCCTAGCTTCTTGATGACCGAGGACAGAGGGTGGTGACCAAGATGAGATGTGGATGAATCACAAGGCTCAACTAACAAGAAAAGCAAGACAGGCTAGGAGCGGGATGGTAAAGTGGACGAGAGAAGGAATAGGTCAAAGGTGGGCTGGCTTTGGCTCCGGAGGGCAGAACACATGCAGGCCCAGGGAGAAAGGGACCCGCTCCTCTCCAGACAGCCTTGCTTCTCTAAGTGCCACAGCGCACATTTCCCTCTACAGCTTGCGTGCCCAAACCCCAAGATGCCTTCAGACAAGAAAAAGCATCCGCAATCAAGGGGAGCTGTTTTATGGTTTATAATTATCTCATACCAATACTCAAAATAGTCATAACTCCCACATATTAATAATTGAATTGCAATAGCAGCTATGACATAGATCAAAAAAACAGAAATCTGTCCATGCTATACCACACACCTTGATATACACTAAACAACTGGCAAGGTAATTATTTTTCTCCCACTTGCTGGAATTGGTGAGATATTGAAACAATTATCTGCCTCTTCCATTAAAGTGGTGAACATTATATTTCCAATTCAGAATAAATATAAAAAGACCTACTTGTGCTGCCTTAAAGCATATTTGTTTTGTTTAACAGTATCTAATAGAGTGTCTGTCACCCAAGGAGAAGTGGTCTCTTATTTCATTTATTTTTCCCATTAATTGCTATCTTTTTTGTTTTCTTCTCCCTCTGTTCCCCCCTCCCCACTGTATTCCTAAAAAGAACAGCTTGAGAAGGAGCGAGAGGGAAATAATGAATGAACAGAGCTTTATAGATCTGGGGTTTATCATAAGTTAGACTAATCACAATTGGTGCTGTTAAACTACACAAAGCAATAAAAAGAAAAAACTATACAAAAATCATTTAAGGAGACATGTGATAGTCAATGAAGGGCTTTCTGTATTTGGGAGTGCTTAATAGCTTCTCAGAGAAAATCTGCAGCATTCCCTGGAATGAAGAGTGTGTGTGTGTGTGTGTGTGTGTGTGTGTGTGTGTGTGTGTATTCTTCCCCATGTGAACTCAGCACATCTGAAACACCCCATGAAGATACAAACAAAAATCAACAAAGGGCAGACAAGAAAGGAAGGAATAAAGCCAGGCTGGGCATAAGACTATCAGATTCACCTGACATCATTGTCCTCCTGTGATTAAAAACACAGTGCTTTAAAGGAAATGCTGAAAGGACATCATTTATTTATTTATTCATCAAACATTCATTGAATAGTATAAAAATGATACCAATTTTTCAAAATAAGTGCCATGTATCACTGTAAGCACTGAAGCTATAAGAGTAAATAAGATATAGTCCCAGTCTTCAAGGAGCTTGCAAGAACACTCAGGTGCATCTCAGTGCAAAGGTTGCCTCTGCAAAGGGACCTGGCCCTACACTGTCCCTAAGTTAGATGTCCCTCTTCCCTGAAGTACATGCCACCATGGCAACCAGTCCATTTCAGCTTGCACTTATATACTGAATTTGTTTTCTTTTTTCTGTTTTTTGTTTGTTTTTTGATTGTTTGTTTGTTTGTTTGTTTGGTCTTGGAGACAGGTCTCACTATGTAGTCCAGGCGGACCTTGAACACTCCTGGTGATCCCCATCTCGGCCCCCCAAGTGCTGAGATTGCCCGTGTGTGTGACAATGGCCAGCTACATTCTGAACTTCTTACATGTGTACTGTTGGCCCCTCCAGATGGCTGGCCACAGGAAAGCAGAGATCTTGCCTCCTTCTTTCTCTCTTACTGCCAAACTTTAGCCCAGCGTCATGCACACAGTGAGCAGCCATTCGTTTTTCATTTAAATAACTAATGAGTTCTGTGAATGACAATAGAATAAATAAAGCCACCCCCAGGTGTCAGGTGGGTCTGGGGAGGGAGCTCACCTGACAGCAGGCAGAGGCAGTGTTTCACAAGATGAGCCTCCACATATTCAGCAGTTCCCCGACCCTCAGGAGTCTGTTCCCAGGGAACACTGCTGCCTGGGATGCCAGGGCCCAGGCAGGTGAGTAGGATTAAAGCAGGAGGGTGGCCTTCCCCAGCTATGGTCTCTCTGCTTGCACTGCTCTCTTGCTTCCTGTGTACTGTGAACTCATCATACTCAGGCATTTTTAGGCATATACATCCCATCAGAACTCTGGCTGTTCCTTCACCCTCATCTCCAACACACACACACACACACACACACACACACACACACACACACACACGGAGCTCTCCCCCATGATTCCTTTGGCTTGGAGTCAAAGGTTCACCTTCTCAGTGCTCTCCCAAAGCAGGTCCTGTTTCTACACAGAACAGACATCTGTTACATGGCATCAGATGAGGGAATATGAGATTGTGCATATTGGCCCATAAAGAACCCCAGAGATGGCAAAGCCACCCACTATGGGCACACAAAGAATTCTGAAGGATGTGGTTGAGACCATGAACAGAGAGGGAAGTTAATACTTTAGCTTGGCTTGGATTTCCAGGGAGGCTGGAAAGGCAGAAGTGGTGGGGTGGGGAGAGGCCAGGAAAGAGCACAGGAGAGACTTAGAGCTGGGCATGGACCAAGGAAGACAATCCCAAGGAGCCAGAAAATTCTGTTAGTCACCTCAGAGAAGAGGAGAGGAAAAGGATGCTCAAGAGGAGAAGGGAAGCAGGACAGCCTGGACCTGCCTTACAGCAGCTCCTCAGACTAAGATGGGCCTGCACAGGGGTGGGGGACCTCCTTCTGCATGTGGCGTACACTTTCATCTTCAGCGATTTCCTAGATATTCAAGATCATGAGGACCAGCTATTCTTTCAGCGCAGTTAAAGGGGTGCAGAAATGGCTCCCAGTGCTGTCCTTTCATCTCCCCAGGAAGCACACTCTCAAATGATTAGCAGAGGCAGCTGGTGCTCACTAGGGACTCTGGGCTTCCATGGAATGGGCTGGGGCACCCAGGAAGGAGAACACCAGCTCCACAGATGCTGCAGGCTCTTGCATGACCCCAGCACCTGGGGCACCACTGGCTGAGTTCAGACTCTGACTGCAAATACACTTCCTCCGTGGTGCCCATCCTCGCATCTCAGCACTGTGAGGGAGACGGAGCCCTGGGAGGATGAGAATCTGGTGTTTTCATCTACCCGAGAGCGCTCTGAAATGGTGCGGACCCTTTCTTTCTTCTTGGATCGTATTCCCTAATCCATAAAAAAACCAAACCTCCCCTGCTCCCAATGTATCCCCTAACAGAGTAGGTAGGAGGTGTGGCTGAGGTATGCAGCGGAAGGTGCATCTAAGAGTGAGGACCTGGCTATGTGAGCTCAGTCCTGGCGGGTCCCTGGACATCCACAGTTCAGCTGTCATCCACAGTTCATGCATAAAATTGAACAATGTCAATACAAATCTGCTGTAGGGTCCTCAAATATGATAAACAAGACTCTAGCTTGGCTCTCAGTACCCTGCCCGGACCTGCTCTCCCCACCCACGCCCTGTCCACCACAGGAACTAGCGCTGGGAAGTTGGCTGGCTTTGCTTAGCAAACTCCAAACCCACATCTATGCTTCCTTCTTGTCTGTTTGCAAAGAGCCTGAACAGATCCCAATCCACTGCACCCTGGGGGGCTGGGAGGTGTCCAGGAGGCCTTCAGCTGAGCCGCACTTTTTCCAGAGCAAAGAAGAAGCGGGATTAGGGTAGCTTGTCGTCCCTGGAGACCTGAGCCCGGGACCAACTTGCCTCGCTGGCACACGCAGCTTTTCCCTCTCAGCCTGGCTCACACTAAGGGCACGCAATCATTTTCCTGAGACCATTCCTCCACTGCCTGCCAGAGCCCTCAGGATGTTGGCTAATGCTGTCGTTTTGTTAGTTGGGGCTTTGGGGTGCATTTTTTTTCTTATTCCATTTTTCTTACTGATGTGTTTTCTTCCACTGGGGCTGCAAAGCTGGTTATTTGTATAACGTCCCTGTTTATTATTTATGGCGAGACTCAGATTTCCAGGGCACTTTATGATTGTTATTTAATTCACTCGGTGTTTGGAACAAGAGACTTACTGTTTGCATTCTCCTGCACAGTCTGATGAAGGATTTCAGAACTTTGTCCCAGGCCAATTCCTCTGAGGGTTTCTTAGGCTGCAGACCCTGATGATTTCCTGTTAGGACTTCCATTTCCCTCACACCTATATCCAATCTCCAAGTCCTAGGAATTCACCTCCCGAATTCTTCCTGACTCTACCAACCTCTGATCTCAGGTCCTTGTGTCCAACTGTCACCCACAGCCAATTCATCTTCCACATGGACGGCCAGAACCAGACTTCAAAATGCAAATCTGACAATGCCAGGTTGCTCCTGAAAATAGTTCCATGATTTTCTTTTGCTTTTAGGACAAATACCCAAATCCTTAGCATGTTTTATAAGGCCTCACATGATCTAGTTCCTGTGTACTTCTTGGGCCTTGTTTTACCCCCTTAATATGCATATTCCAGGCACATGGCCTGACTTTTTGCTCCTTGAAGAGGGCAACTCCTATCTGCATGGGGCCTTGGTATCCCCTGGCCCCTCTACTTCAGATGCATGCCACACTGGACACCCACCCCCTTCCCAAGCCCCTCCACAGTAATCCTTTGGTCATCCTGAAAATCTCAGCTCAAGCGTTTTCCCCACTGAAGCTTCCTCTGACCTACCCTCCCCAGCCTAGGTCAAGTTCTTACACTCTATGCCCTTGTAAACACCATATCCCTTCCCTTCAGAGCTCAGTTTGCATGTAAGCTTATATTGCATGCATGAGTAGCCATCTCCCCACCAGGCAGTAAGCTCCATAGGTCTCTGTTATATATACCCAGGAGCCTAGCACAGTGTTTGCACTGTCTGGATATTGGCACAAGAAAGAAGACAGTGACCTTCTCTGTCCCTGGTCAGTGACTCCAAAGTCATGAGATGGAGGTGATTTGAAAACTATAGACCTTTGTAAGAAATAAGGGCAATCAATCTCCTAGAGAAGAGGAGATTGTGACTCAGGAAAGGCATGTGATTGGCCCCATGTAACACAGCTTGGGGCAGGGGCAAGCTTGAACCCAGGATTTGGACCCTAAGTCTAGCGCTGCATCTGTTTCACTGCACTAAGTCCTGGAAGTCTGGGGCTGGCATGGTTGAGTGGGTCAATCAAGGAAAGCTGCTTGCTGCAAGCAGGTTTGCCATTGTGCTTTGAAAGAGACCTGGGAAGGAAGAAGAGAAATAGGTTCTTCAAATATCAAGATGAATAAACAGATAAGTCCTCTCCGACTATGGCCCAGAAGCACAGAGAGACTGCACATGGTTGTTGCCCTCAGGAATGTCCCTCCCCCTTGGGAGACTGTACACGTTTTATAGCAGTTGTTTTTGTGGTTGTCTTGGTGTTGGGTTTTTTTGTTTGTTTGTTTTGTTTTGGCATTGTAATTTGCACACTTAGTGGTCAAGAACTGTGGCTTGAGAGTTGGAGAAACCTAGATTCAAATCCTAAGTATAGAAACACATCAATACAGATTCTCCAGGGGCCAAACATCCTCTAGTCTGTACCCTCTTCTGATAGAGTTGACACCACTGCCAAGTACCACAGTATGTAAGGCCTCAAAGAATCGTGTGGTGCTGGGAACTTACTTATTCATCCAGAGCCTTCTCTGTGCCCATCGAATGTGAAGACTCAGTATCTACCAACAAGGATCTCACACATGGAAGCAATTACAATCCAATGCCAGAATCATGGGAACAGAGAAGGAAAATCCAGCCAAACTGTACATCAAGCAAGGAGCCTCACGGAGGAAGTGATGTTTAGCAGTCTTTATTATGAGACCCTTGCACTCTATCCTGAAGCCTCTTCAAAGACCACAAGCCAGCTGCCTACCAAAGCCACAGGCCACTCTTCAGCCATATTCTCATAAAGGGGTTCCAAACATAACACCCTTCAACCTGAAGTCTTCATCCTGACACCCCAGCTGCACTGATGGCAAGAAGACCCAGTGACTTGGGTAACAACCACTGGCAAGACCCTGAGGACTCCCCAGTGTCTGCAGGAGGCTTCCTCTCTCCACTGGGCTCCTTCTCTCCAGCCTCGAAGCTTCCCTGAATTCACTGAATCCCCAGAGCCCTCATCTGGCTCTCCCCAGGGTCCAAGGCAGGCACACAGGAGTGGAATAAATGAGGGTGCTTAATGGCCTGCAGTGCCATAAAGTTTTCAAAGCTGTGCACTGGAATGAACAGCACAGTCTGAGATGAACTATCCAGGGCTCCTATCAAAGGAAAGTCAATAAAACCCTGGAGGAGCTTGCTCACCTCCCTGGAGCCATCCTGTCGCAGCACTGGGCCCCTGGCATTGGAGGCAGCCATCAAGAGGCTGAGCTTCCTCCCTAGTCCATCTTCTCCCCTGCGCCTTCCCTTCCAAAATGCATCGTCTCTATGGAAACAGTGTTGCCACTGGTAGGGGAGGGTTTAATGACATTCAGAAGTACCAAAGCAAGTCCATTTATGTAATGGTTTAAAATACACATAATGGCCTATGGAATGTAGGACGCGGTGAGATTTTCAGTAGCTGCGTCGCAAGTGTGGGGTAAATAGAGCAATGTAATAGTCTCCACCTCCGAACCAAATGGACCAGGAGGAACCACCTTCTCAGTAGTAAGGAGCAGCACTTCCCAGTCGTTATTCGCCAAAGGATCTCGGCGCGCTCACACAAGCAGCTGTGATGTCGAGGAACGAGGAACTCAGGCTGGACCCTGCCTCCTCCACACTCGCCAAGGGCTGACCAGGAATCGGCTGGGGCTGGTACGGAGGTGAGCTGCTGGCTGCGGCTGCTCCCAGGTAGAAGGAAGCGGGCATTCCTCTGGCCACTGCTCAGGCCCGCCACGGGGCATGCCTGGGTGCTCACGGTGCTGATTATGAGTCCTGAGGTCTCCTTTCCGTTGGATGCAGGCACTTTCCAGGCGCCCGCTGTGTGTTGGTGCTGTGGGGTCTGGAACTAAGTAGCACATGGGAGGTGCCCTGAGCTCAGGTTCCCTCAGACGCAGACCCTAAGCAAGGGCTTGAGAGTCCCTAACCCTAACCCTAACCCTAAGGCATCTGCTCTGCTGGGAGTAACACTGGGCGCATCAAGAGAGAAGGAAAAAAAGAGCGGAGCTGCCCATGCAGATGTGGGATGAGGGAGACACTACATGTAGTTCATTCCACACCTTACAAGCTTGGTAGTTCTGCAGCCGGAGAGTGGAGTCATCTGCCTAAAAGCATTCAGCTCTTATGACGTAAAGCCGAGAGACAAACCCTGGTCTTGTTACTTGCACTCTGCTTTGGGCAGCTTTGTGTTTCAACAGGGAGGATGGGGTGGCATCCCCCACTTGCCATCAAGGGCAAATGTGACTGAGCACCTGTCAAGTATCCCGTTACACATCTGCCATGGCCAAGGACCGCTGTCCCCACATTTCCCCACCATGCCTGGCCCAAGGACCCTGCTCAGTGCCCAGGTGGTGACCCCAAACCCTGCCCCAGCCATGGACTGGACTGAGAATATCTAATACTGAGTGAATTATCTGGTGTTCAGGAGATGCAGGAACGGGAGGAGACAGCCTGTGGAGGGGGCGTTTCAGCTTGGATAGTCCCCAGCTATGTGGCTTCTTCCTGTCCTCACCCTCTGGACTGCCTTTCCCAGCCCTGCCTGGGAAGATGCGAGGGATAGGGAATGGCACTTTCAGAGTGGTGCTGCAGTAGCATGTTAATAAGTTTTCTGTGAAATACCACCTCTATGGTCAGACAAGGTGGGGAAGGCTAGCAGAGGCCTGATCAAACAAGTCTCTCCCACAGACTGTGCACCAAAAGGCACGATGAGCCAACAAACAGGGAAGGAATGTGCTTCACAAGATGCCCCAAACTCATTTGCTCACGAACCACTCTTCCTGTGGCGTGCATCGGCCATCTTGTTTCTTGGAATCCACTGGGGAGATTCATGGTTTCAGACCAGACCTACCCCTACCTACCTGTGTGACCTTTCTCAAACTAGAATAAATTCTGGCTGCCTTGCAAGGTGAATACTCTTTACAAAATGTAGAGTAGTGTACAAATAAGGTAGTGCCCTGATTGATTTGTGTGAAGTGAACATGCTGTGTTTCCCAAAGACACTTCATTAAGAATCAGAAGAAACGGGGCTGGGAATTTAGCTCAGCGGCATAAGCACCTACCTTGCAAGTGTGCGGTCGTGAGTTTAATCCCTGGTACTGATAAAAAAGAAAAAGACAAAAAAAAAATGACTTAGCTCTGTGACTAAATAGGCATGTAACCCTAATCTTGATCTCTCTGAACAAGTTTTCTTATCTGCAAAATGGGTATATTCACAGTGCTGTCCCTGTTTCCTCTGTGCATTTATTATCAGGATAGAATATGCACAATGCTTGAGCAAGTGCCATGGAAAAGTATCAAGCAGCATCAAATGCACAGCATTGTTAGTGGTGTTCGGGGTTAATACCCACCATTCACTGCTGAGATCAAAACAGGAGGTGTGTGTGTGAGGAGGTGGGCTGGTGGGAGAAATAACAATGACTGATAATCTGCATCCATATTTATGATGTTAGGAGCTTGTATGAGCATGTCACCGAGGGGAGAAGCATGCATATTTCATGAGTGAATGGCTAAATACAGTACTAAGATGAAATGGTCAGGAAGAGCCCCACTCACCAGCCTCCGGGTTGTGATGGGGGAGGTCAAGGCAGGCCCTGTCCTGGTCTGCAGGGAGCAGGGGCTGCTAGTCAAGGTGGGTGGGCTCAGCCTCCCAGAGCTGGCAGAAGAGCCCTGCCCCACCATACAGGAGAACCTGCGCCCACTCCACATACCAGCCTTGGACCATTTACCATAACCATGCTGGGCCTCCGTTTTCACACTGTAAAATGGGGCTGAAGAAATCAGCCCTGCGTATTGTGAGGTCCGAGTCCAAGCCCAGGTGTTTGGAAGAGTGTTTTATAACACACCTGAAAGGGAAGTGTCCTCGTTCATTCATTCATCCACTCCGCAGACATTTATGGAACATCTCCTATGTGCCAGTCACTACAGCTAGCCACTTACGTGTCACAGTGTGCCACACACCACGTCATCACTGTGGGCACATCACCTCCTTAATCGTCACCACAACCCTAAGAGGTTATCTGTTATTATTCCCCCTGTCCAAGTAAGGAATTAAAATTCAGGAAAGAGAAAAGTTAAATGGCAGAGCCCAGAGCTGCATGAAGCCAGAATTCTCAAGCTATGTACAAAACAGCCCCTCTTCGTCTGTGCTGTGACTGCGGTCAGTGGGATGCCTTGCCTGCCACCCCTGTTAGCCTTTCCCTGGCCTGAACATGCCTGGGCCAGCTCCCACCAGCTGAAGAAGAAAGCCCTGCCCTGCCCTGCGCTCTCAGGCCCTCAGAGGGTCCCTTCCTGTGTTTTCAGTCCCCTCCCCTTCTCTCAGGTCTCCTGTCTGTGTCCTGCATACAGTCATCCATGGGGTTTTAATTTTCATCTCTATTCATCAAGGCCTCAGCCTCCCAGAGTCCTGGGAAGTGAGCAACCGCTTATCTGGGCCAACCACCAGGTGGTGTGAAGATTAAATACCTCCCACCCCTCCAAAGCCTTGAGAAGATGAAACAAGGACAGATGGGCCAGTGCCTGGCTCAGCGCAGCCAGGACTTCAGGCTCCTGCTCGCTCCTGCTCCTGACGAATGACCCTGGAGGCCAGAACAGCTCCCGGAGCACCTGGCTCTCTCCTGCCCACCACACAGCCCAGGGACACAGCCTTCCCTGTAAATCTCTTCCCTGTGGGGCAGCTTCGTGTTATCTCTACTCCTTCCTTCTCCAGAGATGAAGAGATTGTTTTAGACCTGTGCCCCACCAGCTCTGCTCCTAGCTCCCAGTGCCATTAAGTTTCATTATAACAAATAAACACCACAATGACATTTATAAGTTACCACGGAGGACAGAAGCACAAATATGAAGCAGATAAACTACATTTGATCCAAATAATTACTGCAGGCAATATTGGGCTTAGTCTGAGCTGGCAGCCGGCTACCGAGTAATTTATTAGATTGCATAAGGCAATGTTGCACGTTAAGTTTTTCATTATTGTGTCTCTTCCTCTCACCATGGCCTAAATAGGTTAGAGGACTTTAGACAGCACCCGGCCAAACAAAGACAGACTTTGCTCAAGCACATTAGGGCCAGGAAGGTTGGCCAAGTGTCCAGGAATGGCTGCTTCCCAAGTAACACTCATACTTGGGAGAGGAGAGCGGGTTTCATGATTACGGGGATGCTGCCAGCCAAGGATGGCTCCCCGAGCTCCCCACCCACTGGCCCAGATTCCAGAAGGGGCCCCTTGAAGGGAGGAAATGGCACCACTGGATGAAGCCCCAGGACACGCAGCCTGGGTTCCTCCTGCCAAAGATCCTTTCCATCCAAACCACCCCCATAACCCCGTAACCCCAGGTACCCTGGATAGCCCCATCCCAATCCCAGAACTCTCCTCCTGGAATGAATAAAAGAAAGGAAGCAACTACCAGCCAGCTCTGCAAAACAAAGCAGTGAGGGCTGGCTGGAAGCAACCACCTCCCTGCCAAACCCAAACTCATAAAGTTTGATTCAAGGGGTTACAATACCTCCTATTCAGCATCCCCCCTGCCCCATTCTCCCAGCCTTAGTAAATTACCCAATAAGCAGCAAGGACCTGTAGTTATTGTGCAGTTAAATGGTATTTGCCCAGTAAATCCTGAGCAGAGTACTAACGGTGATATACAGTAACTAATTACAGACATGAATTCTCTCCCCAAGACGCCAAGTGTTACCAAATATTGCCGCGTTTAGAGGGGGAGTTTTGAAAGCTGTTCTGCTCTCTCCAGTGAAGCTGTGAGTAACTCTGCTATTAGAGAAGCCATCAGCATCTCCAGGAGCACTCCAGCTAGAAGACAAAGACGTCCCTGGCAGGCTGGAATGGGGCCTCATCTTCCAAGATGGCAACTGCTCTCTGCCCCCTGATCCCACGCCCAGAAGAAGGATCTAGCCGGCACCAGCTAGTCCTTCTTGGGTCATCTCACACCAAATAAGGGGCTCAAGCACCACGGTAGCTACTGGAAAAGCCCAAGGCTCACAGCAATGCAGGGAATGGAAATCATTATTCACCAAGCCAGACCAGGCTAAGAATGCTGGTGTGTGCCAAGGTAGGGTCAAAAAACAGCCCTGTCTCCTACTGGGTGCAGAGACGGTTTGCGCTAAATTATGGTTCACTGAGATGACCTCAGCCCTAAAGGCACCATGGGAGCAGCACCAGTTTCTCTGGTCTAGAGTCAGGCAGGCCATGGTTGGGGGCCAGAAGGTGGCAGACATCCCCTAGGCTTCCTGCCTGTTTGTGGAGCACAGCTCGGGGGCAGTTTGAGAGTGCAGTAGCCAGGCTCTGCTTCCTAATGAGAAAACCACACAGAAACAAAAACCCTTTGCTGATCCAGTGCTGTTGTGTAAACAAAGGCCAAAACCAGAGTCCAGTGGCTCAGTTCCATGTCCTGTGGCCTTCGACAGTTTACTTAACCTCCCTGAACCTCCTTGTCCTGATCCATAAAGTGGGAAAGGTTCTCCATCTCACAGGGAATTGCTGAATTGCTGTCCTGGAGCGGGGTTGCCCTTGCCTCCAACCAGCTGTGTCCCTCACGGTGCCACCATCCAGTCACCAGTCACTCAGCCTGAGCCCCCTGAAAAGGGAAAAAGCCTCCTCTCGGGGCTGGGGGTTTAGCTCAGCGGCATAAGCACCTGCCTTGCAAGCAGGTGGTCGTGAGTTTGATCCCCAATACCGATAAAAATGAAAAAGACAAAAAAAAAAAAAAAACCCTCCTCTCACCCTAGGCACTCGCAGCAGTCTGTGTATCCCCTTCTTTTTCTCAAGTGCTTCTAGCATAAAATCGCTCCTTGATCAAAGGGCAGTCCTTGCCAGGTGGTTCTGCTTCCTTTGCTGCTGCATTCTGGGATGGATGCAAATGATCAGAGCCCTTGCCAGGATGCCCCTGTTTGGTGGTGACACACGAGGCAGAGTCAGGCTGAAGAAGGCTGTGTGGGAGGAGGTCCTGCAGGGGAGCAGTGAGCTTCAAGCCTCTACATCAGGGTGATGAAGTAAGATAACATACATGAAGCACTTTGTGAAGAATCAACTGTACGCAAAAGTTAGGCGTGGTTAATATCCCGAACCAATTAGAAAAGTGGGCCCAGAATCCCAGGGCAGCGAGAAGAATCACTTTTTTAATTAGAGCATATATATATATATATACGCAGTTCTCAATTATCTGTTGGCAAATTGTCCCCATTCCTGGCAAATTCTATGACCAAGGTGGCTTAATGAAGTCCTCTGCTCACACTTCACAGCTTCTTATTTTGCTCTTATTTGAATGAGGCCCAAAGGGAATGAAAGTCCTTTAAAGGAAAAATCCAGTTAATATCTCCATCCCTTTCTAGGGAAGGTGTGAGCCAGAAAGACAGACACACTAGGGAAGGGAGGGTGCAGCCAGCGTTAGCACTAAGCCAGGAAGAAGGTGATGTTCTTCACCAGCTCAGTAGGAGACGAGAAGGGTTGTGCAGTTTACATTCTGTGTATTAACAATTCCAAGAATATCAAACACATCCATATTCAAATACGAATACTAAAATACATTCCAAAGTCAAACATAAATGTTACCTAGGATTATGCATTGTTTTGGATTGTCCATCATTTGGATTATTCACACCCTCACTCCTCTTCATTAAAGATAATTAAGCATAGACTGTGCTCAGTCTCTATCAAGGGAGAGGCTCAGTCTCTAAGAGGGGAGAGATTCAGAACAGGGCACCAAGATGACTTTCTTCCCACTGGGAGCAACTCCTCCTGCCAAACTAAGACTTCTCAGCACAGGCTTTAAACTGTGGCTCTCAGTGCAGGGTTAATTGAGGGAAACAGAAGTACTTCGTGCTTGAGGACTTTCTTCCTCAGCTCACAGGGTCTTGGGTTTGTGTTTGTACTGATCAAGTGAGACACAGCTGTGCTGCCTTTTCTGGTCTTCCATGGACCATCAAACTATACCTGGAAGCACTCAAGTGGCTGAGGCAGGAGGACTGTTGTAAGTCTGAGACCAGCCTAGGCTACAAAGTGAGCTCAAGCCCAACCTGCACCGTATATTGAGACCCTGTCTCAAAAAATATATATATACCTTGAGCTCTGCAGAGAGAAACGCTGGACTCCACTGCGGGGCAGATACCAGTCCTCCTGCTGTACCTTGGCTCTGCCTCTACTTACGTTATGCACTGGGTTTCCATGTGAGAGTCCACTGATGAAAGTGCTGCATAAATTTGATAAGACGTGCTGCGCAGTCTCACGGACTTTGTCCAATGCCTTTGCTATGCAATTCGGAAAACCAAACAAAATAAGGAAGAGACAGCAAAAGAGTTGTGGGGTCAGGAAGGCTTCCACCCAGATTTCCCAAGGTCTGGGAGGCCAGGCAGGGTGCCCCTGAGAGGGCAGTGTGTGAAGCTCTGAGTGCAAAACAGAAAGTGCAAAAAGAAATGGAAGAGACAGCAGCCCGTTCAAGGACATACAGTGACCCTGAGAGCTAAAACTAGACCTCTGAGCCCAAACTAGAACCCCATGCTGCTTGCATGCTCTGACTTGGCTAATCCAAAACCGCCCCACATCCCCACACCCAGCTCCTGCCAGCTCCACCAGCATCACCTCACTCCCCACAAAGAAGCCATTAAAATGCAGATTCCTTGGTCCAAAGAAGACCACACCATCTTAGAATCTCTGAGGTGGAGCTCAGAAAGTTATATTTTTAGCACATTCTTCAGATAATTCCTATGCATATAGAAATTTTAGAAACATTCTGACTGATAAGGCCTACAGCCATATGACATGATCATTTTAAGATATTTGTTCAAAAAATGTTTAGAAATGGATCTTTGCCAAACAGATCTAGAGTCTTTGAAAGATTTGCCTTTATTTCTTTGGGCCCCTGTTTTGTTATTTTCAAACCCCCCCCCCGTAAAGGCCCCCAAAATAGGACTTCAGAGAAATCGAAACATAAAGCATTAGGTTTGGGAGGGAGAGGCTGACAGGTTAACTCCAGGTCTAGACTCTGCATTGCATAGAGGAGGAATCTTAGCTTTGGGGAAGGACGGAGTGAGGCCCAAGGGCACCCAGACAGAGTGGGCAGAGATGTACCACACCGCTCCCTCCGGGCTTCGAAGCAGGGCGTGGGTACCGCCATGGTCTTTAGAAATGAGAGTGAAAGCCCTGGAGTCAGCCAATCTGTGGCCCAGCCCAGCATCACCTAGTGGTATCCGCATGGGTGCCTTCTAGGGGGACACAGTGGACACACTCTGCCCAGGCTCAGACCTGGCTCTCTCTGGGGCCAGTGACAGTTTTATTCCTGCTCTTTAGTTCCACTTCCTCCCTCCCTGCTGCTCCCGCCTCCTCTCAGGTTGCCTCACCTATTGCAGACTAGAAGTCACAGTGGCCGGGGACCCACAAAGAAAGCAGCTTGCCTAGCCTCAGGGCCACAGACCTGAGACAACATACAGGGAAGCTCTCTTCTGTTCCTTCCTGTCACCGCCACAAAACCACACTGCTTGGGCTGTTCCAGTCCAGTCTACCTCCAAGTGACCTGAGGCAGGGATGGATGGGCCCTTCATGGGCTCAGAGCCACTGTCTGCAACAGCACTTATCAGTGTCTCCCTGGCATCCAGGCCTCTGCTAGATCGATGGAAGGATCCCTCTCCCACCACTAATGAGCACAGAGCAGGCTCTGGCTGGGGTTGCAAAACTGATAATCAGCAGGCACAGGATTTATAGTGACTTTGGACTCACCCTGACTCAGCCAGCCCAATTGCTCTTCATTAAAGTCCACACTGTCCAGGACGACCTTGGTGGATTGTGTGACCTGGAAAGAGAATGTGAAGTGGGTGCGATTATAGGCTGACCAGGCTGCCCCAGCTCAGGCAAGAAGTGAGGGTGGGGGAATGAGCCTCCAGACTTGGTCAGCTCCCCTCTGTAAGCACGAGCAAACTCCTGCACAGTTTCAGAAACATTCTGGCAAGTTTCTCCTCACCTGTGCCTCGGCAGCTAGCTGCCAGTTGTTGCAAATGGCAATGTTGGGGTAAAAGTATTCGCAATTCTCTCTCCCAGAGGAGGTCTAGAAGAATCACACACACAGTGAAGAGAAGCCCAGATCTTCTGTTGGTATTTTCAGTACCAGGCCCATGGAAGATCCAGCTAGAGAACCCGTTGCCATCCCAACAGACCTCTAAACCTGCGTAAACGTTGGCGTGAGTTAGATGTCGCACATAGGCAGCTGGTCCCAACATTCCGAATCTAAGCTGATCCCCTCCCTCTCAGACAGTCACAGCAACGTCTGTAACTTTCCATTTTGGGCAATAAATTCTCAGTTCCTCACCGAATGGGAGGCATGCTGCCTGACCCAGAGTGCGTGCTCAGCAGGTCTGAGTTACCTATCCCCTCTTCTCAGCTCTGACTACGTCCAAGACTTCTGAACCGAGAGATTTGGGGACCCCCATCCATTAACACACTTCCAGCTGAACTCACTGCCTCGCCTCAAACCTGCTTCTCATCCTGAGTCTGCAAATGGCTCGGCACTGCTGTTCACTTTGCCCTGTGAGTCAGGGCGCGCTGGCCTCTACGTCCCTGAGTCACATCAGGTGCCATCAATCCTGCCTCCAAGTGGTGCCTACATCCGATTTCTTATTACCACCAGTGCAGCTTTTGCCTGAGCCCTGTGGCAGTAAAATCGCCTTCCCATCTTCAGATTATCCTTCTTCATCCCCCTTGTCTCACTGTCACCACCGTGAGCTCCTAAAACCTAACTCCGAGACGTGAGTCCACAGCCTTGATGATTCCTCCTTAAATGCAACACCTTAACGTGGGCTGAAGGCCCACGCAGCCACACCCCATGCCTTTCTAGCCTGGCAGCCACTAAAATACATCCTCACACACATACTCCAAGCACCAACTGCCTCAGGTTCTTAGTGACGGTAGCAATGGCCAAAAAGGGCATTTTACACAAAATTTCCTATTCTGGGCTCCCAAAAAAGCCCTAGAAATAGTGTTTACTGCCCCAGAAGGGAAACTGAGGCTCAGAGGAACTGAGCAGTTTCTCCAGGGTCACAGAGCTGTCACAGCAATACCAGGTCAGGTCTAGCCTTGTGACATCTCTGTCTTATTCCCTGAACCCAGTCTGATCTCAACTTTACTGGGCTGTCGCCATGCCAGAGAGCGCCCCCCCACCCCGCCCTTATCTTGTTAACACTTGCAAGCCATCTCAGAAGCCAGCACCCCCCAAGTCTTTCCTTGGGACTTGGTTTCTACCTCATTTTGGCACTAAAAAGGAGGGGCTTTTATCCAGCTCCCGGTGTGCCCATCTACTTCCTCCAGGCTCTACGCCCCTCGTTAGAGAAAACAGTTCCTCCTTTGTACTCCACAACTAGCCCCAGGCTTCAGAGAAGCTGCTGAGGTGGCTCTCGGTCCTGCCTGAGACAAACAGGGCATTATTCCTTGAGATGGCACAATCCCTGGTGAGGTGGGTTTGTGAACAATGTGACCAAATTGATAAATTTTAAATTTAATTAGCTGAGCTCAGGACCACTCATATACAGATCCTCCAATTTCAGACTCCAAACAAGTGGTCCCCAATTGGAAATTTACAGAGCTTTTAAGATAGAGAGCCACAAAAAGACATCCTACTAGAAACAATTTAGCTAGAGTCTTACATTAACTTTTGGTTGACACATGTATCCTGTTTCTTTGTCGAGCAGGTTAATTTTTCTCTTGTGGATTCAGCTCATTCTGCTTTTCTCATGGGATTGTACTCTGAGTAATTTTCCATTCTCCTGAGACAAATTCAGGAGACTAGTTATATGCAGGCTCAAGATGGCGTCGGTTATGCCAAGCTATAACACCTGACATAAAATCAAATGTATTAGATAGAAGTCAATCAGTGGTCTAGTATGTCCCCATCACCTTCAACTCTGCACCCTAAAGTAGGTCACAAGAGGGCATTGTGGGAATTTTCTGAAGCTCATTCTCCTGCATTAGGAGCTAGCCCTGGGCTGAGCAGAAGCAAACCTGCAGAAGTGCCTGCCTTTCTTCCACGTCTGACAGTGTGCTGCTGTCCTTAGGGGCTGCTAAGCCAGCTCCTCTCCACCCTCCTCCCATTTGCTTGCATCTCAGGACAGGAACCGCTTTCCTTAATCGCATAAGAGGCAATTTACTGCAAGCTCTGGGCTGGGAGAAAGCTGGCGATAAATATCCCCATACACGTATCCTTAAGCCTTCCCCAATTGGTCACTAATAACAGAGCAGACAGTGACATTTGAGCCTTTTCTGCATGGCTGACCCGGTTCTCCGGGCAACTCTGAGACAGGCCCAGCAGCTGCAGGACTCAAAGCAGCAGAGCCTGTGGCCCGGAGCTCACCCTGTTTCTTACCTGCTCCACTGAGCAGAATTCTGGGAAGGGACGGATTTCTGATAGGTCAGACTTCAGACTTGCAAAAGCGTCCTTCTCAAACCCTGGGCTCCCTGACAGGTGCCACTGTGGGCCCAGTTTCAACAGTCCTGGGCTTAGAAGAGGCTCTTGGACAGTGATGAAAATAGCAATCTTTTGTGACACATACTCCACTTGCCAGGTTATTTTCCACAAAATACCTGTTATCCTCGCAGCAGCTTTGCCAAGAGGGAGGATCAGTCCCATTTTGCAGACGAGGAACTTTGGTTCATACTGTGTTCTTTCAACTTCCAGGACTCAGGCCTTGGCAGGTGACCCTTGGGCAGGCAGCTGAGGGTTACCTGTCACTCATAACTTTACTTGTGTTTCTTCTTCTCCTCAGTCACATTCTCAAGTCATGGTTTCTTTCAGGAAGCCTTCCCTGTCCCCACTCTCCAGTTCCCATACATGAAGCACACTTTGCTTAAACCCCAGAAGAACTTAATCTGACCTCTCTGTGAGAGCCACCACTTGCCCCTTGTAATCTAGAGATCGGTGGTCGTGTGTGAGACCATCCAGGGACTCTCATGCCCTGCTGCTGAGCTAAGGTCAGGCAAAGCAGCCAGCCCAGGCAACGGAAGAACCTTCTCATGTTTACCTCCCAGCTGAGCTCCAAATGCAGAGCAAGCGGGGAGTTTGGCACCCCCCTGCCCCACCCCGTGTCAGGCTCAGGAAGGACAGAGGTTTACCTCCTCTGCTATTACAGCTGCTCCCTAATTCCCACTTTATACTAACCAGTCCATGCTGCCTGACACCATGCAAGCACAGTAGAGAGACACTCCCTATGGGCTGGCAACAGACCTGGGACCCTAAAAGCTCAGCGTGTGTCCCAAGAGAGTGAGGGCTGACAGTTGTTGGTGGCTGGGACGGATGAGTACCTTGGCTTCTCTGAGGCCAGGTGGGGAGATTCCCAAATGCCAGGGGCCTGGGGACACTGGCCATTTCCCTACCTGTTCTGCACATACAGAGACCGAGGCGCCGTGGGTTCTGGGACCGCACAGACGGTCTTTCCCCACAGAGCTTCTAGACTGTGCTGACCAGGCCCTGGCTGGGGCTGTGCAGAGAGGAGGGGCTAAGGAAGGCGGAGGAGTGCTGGGGGAAGGGGAGAGGGAGGGCCCAGAACCACAAAAGCTTGCACATTTGCATCTTGGATCCCTCAGCTTGCCTTGCAGCCTCAGAAAAAATTTGCTCCAGAAATTCTACATCAGAGGCTTTTCAACATCCTATTAAAACAAGAAGAATTGTTCCATCAAAATCTAAAGTGGTTGGCAAGGAGCAGAGGCCAGAAAATTCTGGCTGAGGAAGAGGTGGGCCTGAAGGAGGGCTCCCTGGGCCCCCTAAATGCACCTGTGTGCACCTGTGCCTAGCAGCCACTCTCAGGAGCACTGCTCTAAAGCAGGCACACGGTGTCATGTGACCCTCGTAACCTCCGCCTTCCAT